ACTGTCACAGGAATTAACAGAGTTTTCTATTAGCGTATAACATTGGTGAGCGTAGTTGTAATAAATCTGCTCTGAAATGTAATTATCCGTCTCGAAATAACATTGTTGTATGTTAACAAAACTTTTTGTTCGTTTCATATCAAAATATTCGAAAATATTATTTCCGATCTGTGTATGCATTAATAAATTTTCAGATATGAAAGAATCAAGTTTTAAATATATATTTGAATTTTTTTCTGTACCATCTGACAGAAAATAATATTAATAATTTTATTAACTTGTAAAGCAAAAATATGGTTAGAATAAAATTCTGAAAAGACAATTTACTCTTTGATATGAAGTGATAAGACACACATTTTTATGAATTACAGGTATATGAACAATAGAAAGTACTTAATTGTGCTAAGAAATATATACATACATATATATTTGTACATACATATACGCATAGGCAAAAGAATTCAAACCGATAATTTTTATGTAAAAATACTTCCCATACACTATCTCTCTAAACGCTTCTAATAAAATACAACAATAACATTTTCATTCATAAATTTATCGCACACATACCCCTGCATAACCGTGCCGATAAGCGGTAGAGAAAAATTCAAAAAATCAAAAAACAAAAATGTTCACAATACATGAAGCAATAACAAAATACATTTGCCTGCCCCTTTCCCTTCATCCTGCAAAAAAAAACACGGCAAAAACTGACAAAAATTCAAATATTCGAATTCTGTCTACTAAAATGAAAAAATCGGAATTCTGTTGCTAAATTTGTTGCTCGCCTATTTGCTTATATTGGCTAATAAGAATTCCCTTGCCTTCCCGCAAGCGCCTTGTCCTCAAGCTGAGTTGTGGCGAGGATGATGAAATTCTGAAATTGTAGAATATTTTATATTTTATTCGGGAAAGAAAATTGGCAAGCGAAGAATGGCAACATTGCCCTAGACAATTCCAGTTCAACCCAGAAAATATATTATTTGTCGTATTTTGGTGTATGTATTCAGTTACAGTGATCTCTGTGTATAACCAATACTTCTATCACAAAGTAACCATCGCATGAACATCTAGTAAAGTGAGCTTATAAAATTAATTCCAAAATAGCCGAGTGGCTTACATTGCTTACTGCAGGGTTCGAGTCCTGGTTCGACTATCACCCTTATAGAAATGCATGGGTCTACCACTGAGGCGACTTAGAATAAACTGTAGGCAAATCAAAGGTAAATCGTTGGAAAATCAAGACGCATACCATAAATTGGAGAAGATAATCCGAAAACCGCTTCTTAAATTGTATTAAATTATTAAAAAATTTTATACTTTTATGCTTATATTTTTCACAGTTAAAATACATATTAATTTAATATTCGTTTGCTAATTGCAAAGAAAGATGTTCATTCTATCGATAGTTATTTGCTGTTGTCACAGAAGAATTCAGGTACAGGGAACTCTGTTTATCGCGAATATTCCTATAATATTTTAACCATACAAAGTACATCCAACTGCATTACTTTTGCATACGTAATTTCTCAACGATTTCAAGTTTCTATTAAATGTTGGACTGTATCGAAGTGTTAAACATAAATTTAACTCAAAAAATTATTTTTAAAAATAATGAGGTACTCTTACACTGGATCCATAAAACCCGCAGCTCGTATAAGAGGGGGGATTTCGAAACATACTTATAATATATTATAATAATATATTAATCACTTAAAATATAATATTTTTAATAAATACCTTCATACATACATATATACATAATTAAAGGAAAATGAAAAGAAGTGTGAAAGAAAGGTTCGTTAAATCCGGCAGGTATGAAGGGGTCTCAGAATTAGCCATGTTGGGCTACCTAATGGAAGGGATGGGTGTACGAAGGCCTAAAATATGACTGCGTTTTTTATGGACAATTCTTTATTAAACATTCGTTTGCTAATTGTATAGAACTCAGTTCGCATTATCGTGAGTGCGTTTGACAATTGTCGATAGAAAATTCATTTTTGTTCAATTTAAAATTTTTGTATTTTGGTTTGTATAATAGACGCGGAAGGGGAGATGTGCAACGCAATTTTTTTTTTTAATTTCAAATTGTGGCCATTATAATAGTATTGTCATGACAATGCGTAGTATTTTTTTTTTGATGGATGCGTAAGCTTTTGTTTGTAAACAAATGTGTAAATTTGAGTACATGTGCGTATATATGTATGTTAAAAATGTGCATATATTTGCGTGCGTGGATGAATTTTGATTTTCTTACTGTTCTGATATTTGCCTCAATAACTATATATGTATGTAAATAAATGCAGAGAATGTTTATTAAATATTATTGTTCTCTGAAAAATATTTAATAGAATTTAATTGAATATAATATTAAGATATTGTTTCTTACTTTTAATTCATCATAATTATCACTAATCGTTAAAAAAATATAGGTAAAATATAAAAATGGGTATAAAAAATAATATATGAATTCTATAATTCGAAATTGTTTAATAAAATTTCAAACTATTGAAGCCAACAACAAAAATTCATAAGTTTAAATAAATTTTGATAACAAACATTTGCTAACATTTATCTTGCATAGGTTTTATCATATTTTACACCGATTTTCTCAGTTTTCATATAATTTTACTCATTCTGCTATTTTGAGACTGATTTCTGCCTGCTCACTGTTAATTTGTGGTGAAATACTCTCATAGATTTCTGGGTGAAAAAGTAGGAACGAATGGGCAATCGGCACGCGCTGGTCCTTCTCGCTGGGCATATCTTTCATTTATGATGTGGTTAACTTAACGACAAAATTTATTGACGATTAGCTCTTAACCAGAACATAACTTGACAACTACAAATTGTAAATTAATAAATAAAACTGTATTTCGGTGCTAATTTCAATATCAAATTAATGGCATAAGTGAGAGAATAGAACAAAATGAATTAATAATCGTGGTCCGCTCTGATTTCAGAATTTTAATGCTATCCTTTTTTTTTGGGGCAAACTGTTATTTTTGTGGAAAGATGACTAAAATTCCTATTTTCTAATGTACATATATATTTTTATACTTTTGGAAGACAAATTTGGGAAACAAAATTTTTAACAAAAAAATACTATTTTATTTAAGAAAAATTAGTTTCTTAAAATGTTGTGCAATAAATCAAACATAAAACAATATAAATTAAAAACAACATAAAAAACTTTCAATTTGGTGTATCAGACTTTGTAGTCACTTTTAAATAGCGCGAAATAGCACTAACCATATTCATACTCATAAATTTGCATAAATTGCAAAAGTGTTTCACTCAAGAATACTGTGCAAGGCGAAGCCGGTGTTGGTTTATTTCTGGATCACAACCCAAAGCGCGGTCAAAGGTCACCAACTTACAAAGGAGTTTCAATCAAGAATACTGTGCATTTTTATGAACTTTGTGAAACAATTTCATACTCATCTTTCGATTGCTACTTTCCGCGAATATGCTTTTATTTAAGGGAATTTATATAACATGGTATATTATATATCAGATTAAAGGTACTTTTATGCTGCTTTTTTTCTGGTGGCTTAGATTATGATTATTCAAACAAAATTTTAATAAGAAATCGATTATCTATAAAATAACTAGTAATTTTTTTTCTGGATTTTCTCAAAATTTACATTCAGAAAGTATTTATGTATGGACATCAAAAAAGAGGAACTTCATTACCTTTCCACCGATATCAAAAATTCGGTGTACAACGTTTAAAAATATAGCGTTTTACATCTTTCGATAATTCCCAATTCGCCTCCCCATATCTGCGAAAATAAAAGCTTGTCCCAAAAAAATGTATATAATTGAAGTCAGGAAAACAGGGCAGACCACTTCCAATTCTTTATTTGGTTCTACCTTATTTGTCTACATTATGCACTTTTTCCAATGGTTTGAACCAATCGAATTTAAGGTCTATTCTATTACATAATTTGTTTACTTTTTCATCCCAATTTTAGCGCTGGACGACTTTACAATGGATACATAATAGAATCGCGTGGAGAGGTGGTGGATGAAAACGCCGTTTTCCAGTACTATCCCTTGGATTGAGAGTTTCCTTACCACGTCAATAAAGATTATTGTTGCCTGTAGAGTGTTGCACAATATTGCCATTCAGAATTACTAATCTGGATGAAGAAGTTCAAGTTCATTAACCAGCAGAAACATCCGTTGATACCGACGAAAGTATAACTGAGGTGCAAGAAAGATCTAGTTCAATCAGAGAATTATAAGTTCATTTAGAACTATTGTTACTAATAATATTAATAATTATTACAAAAAATAACACAACATTTTTCATTATGCTCATTGACATTTCTTTTCGGAACAAACAACAACACTACGTCTACGAACACTTAAAATTACTTGTTAAAAAAGGAAGTGCGCCGACAGAAATTTTTAAAGAGATGTCATCGGTTGTTCAGGACTCTGCCCCTTCAAATATTATGGTGAAAAAATGGGATGGACTGTTATAACAAGGAAGAAAATATTCAGAAAGTCGAAAAATCAGTACTGACTGATCGAAGAAACAAATTGTGGCAGATAGTAGAAGGATTACAGATTAGCAAAGAACGAACTGGAGAAATTTTGTTTGACCATTTGAATATAAAATAAATTAGTGCGCGTTGGGTTCCACGTATGCTCGACAAGTAGCGATATTTGGAAAGTTATAAAGACTTTTTGGCGTTATGCCAAGATGATATGGATAAAATTTACAACCGCATTGTAACTGTTGATAAAATTGAATTCGTCAGTATGAACCCGAGTCTAAACACGAGTCGGTACAGTGATTAAAAATGAGGGAAAACCATCAAAAAATTTCAAAGTAGAAAAGTCGGAGTCGAAGATTATGTCTACCATATTCTGGGATAGCGAGGGATATTATTAATTGATTACTCTTCAAAGGGAACTACAATGAACGGCAGGTATTACACTGATTTGATAAATTAGGTGCATGAAGCAAAGTTAGCGCACGGAGTGTTGTTTCTTCAAGCTAAAGCACCCGTTCTAACCGATAGGGTTGCGAGGGTTTAAAAACTACTGAATTTACAGAAATTGACCATCCACCCTACAGTGGAGAATAGGCTCATTGACTTTTTCCTTTCTTAAAATTTAAAACAGGAACTACGGGATGAAGATTTTCCGATGACAGTGAGGTGAAAGCGGCCGTAGAAAACCATTTTGACGAGAAATCTAAAGAATGTTTTTTCAGTGGTAAACTACTCGACAAGTCGATAACTAAGCGAGGAATGTTCAAAGGAAAATGTGGTTCTAAATCAAGTTCTACATCAATCAACGTCCTTTAAGAGGACTATTAAGAAAACATATTGATATATTTATCGCTGGACCGTAGAAAACATAGAATTTCATCACTGTTGAAATACCATAAATTTTGAATACAATTAATAAATGAAAATGTTATATAATTGACAAATTTATTAAAAAATTTAGGATAATACTAGAAACCAAAAATAATAAACTGTTTAAATGAACGAATTTAAAATTAACCGCCAAATTACCCAGCTGCTGTACAACTTGCTGGCTAATTCTTACTGAATCCTGTTCGGTGAAATCTCAGTAAATTTCTTTCTTTATGAGAGTAAAACATCTTACTCTCTTAATTCCGTTACTTCCTGGTTTTTACTGACATTTCTGAACGAACGCAGCTATTATTATTTTTTATTTGACGGACCAAGCCTGAGATTGACGAGCAAACGCGAGTTTACAGATATCTACAAGATTTCATATTTGTAAAACCTACAATGCTGTAGAGTTTATCCTATCAGTACAAGAGCATTCCAAGGCGAATTTAGAGAAAGTGAAGTTTCCACATCATATGATTGCTTGCTTACATTTCAACAAATTACACAAACAAAAAAACATGGAAAATAGGTTTTGACATTTCGAACGATCGTCTACGTAAAAAAAATACATTGGACGATCTTCGTGTTTGACTTTTCGAAGATATTGTTGCGAAAATGCGAGGCGAATGTCAGATAAAAGAGGGAAGCCGATAACTAGTACGTTCTAGAAACGATAAAACAAGAACCTTCCATAGCGAACAAATCGATGCTTCTACGCTTTCGTCTGCGAGCAGCCGACTGCTATATAAAGGCGACACTCAGCTGTAACAATATGATTATAAAAACAAGATACAAGATTTTTGTTTTTGTATTCTTGCTACTACCGTGTGTAAACTTGCCTTGGAGCAGTCAAATAAAATTGTCAAATGCATGAATGCATTTCTACTTTGAATAACTTAAACTTAACTCAAAACATTTGTTGTTCTTATGGCATCAAAAGAAACATATGGATAATACTTGGTTAATCATTAAAAGTAAAACAATTCCTGTACAAAATGTATACAATAAATAAATGATTTATTTTTTTTTTTGTAAATTTGTACATTCAGTTGAAACTTGTGCTATCAAATGCATAAATCCTGTACAACAAAATACGTTCTAATATAGACTATGTACCGTCAATACATAAGTACTTATAAGTACGTTTAGATATGAAACCATTTACTTTATAAACTAACTATCTCGTTGACTGCATTCAGGGCAAAAATCTCATAGAAGCAAACTGCAACATTCCTGAACTCCAAGAAAGATATTTCGTAGCGGGGTATTAATCGGCTCAAAACTAGTTGATTAAATAAACAGAGAACAACAAAGCCGAGTATCCAATACCCCTCGTTTACAGAATAACACAGATATATTAACAAGGACGAACTACATATAACAGATATACCAGACGTTATCCCGCAAAACTTTATGATTTTCCATTCAGCAATAACTGCAATTATCGCACATATCACTGCTCCGTAAAAAATTAATCCCGGGGGAATATTTAATATGTAATAAGCGTCCTTTATTACCAAAATGGGAATTATATGAAGCTGTAGAAGTATCACTAAATTCCATAACGATGGATTTAGAAAGGTACCATCAGGCCTCGAAAAAGTAAGGATTCCAAATATGCCACAAGCCATAAGCGCAGGAAATGACCCTCTACACAATATTGCTGCCTTATCAACCGTTTTCATGGCCCATCCTGAAATGACAACAATGAAAGCGTTTGTAACGCAGAGAACAACACTTCCATCAATCTTATGCGAACGGTTCATTTCAGTAATTCATTGAGTAAATACAAAGATTTGTTTTGTGAATATATTAAATGCTACATATTTTGTAGTGACTTGGCAAAAAGTATCGAATGATTTAAATCATCGATACCAAAACATCTGTTCCGTAAAAAGTACAATTAAGGGCTGTTTTCACCATCTCCGCTTAAGCAACTTATCATAGCTTAATCGCTGTCACAAAATTCGTTTCAACAATGCTCGGTTAAGGATGCGCCTGTCAATTAAGTTGATGTTAACTTAACACACGATTAGCAGCCAAAATTCAGCGTCTATGTTAGTTTAAAAAACCCCCCTGCGGGTCTTTATACCGGAACGACCAGTATATTTTATATGACCAACTTTCACTCCCGCATCAGTCCCCAAAAATTACTTTAAGGAATATGATTGCTGTTACAACAATAACAACAACGTATCTTACAAAACATGCACAACCAAAGATAGGTTATTGCGCCATCAAATTGTCTAATAACTATGAGAGTTTCAATAAATTTCTCTCGAAAATCGCTTAATATACGGATAATTAAATTTAATTAATTTTTTAAATTTAATTAAGGCCCGCTTTCACAATGACTGATTAACTTAACCTTAACGAGAGGTTAGCTTAACCACCAGATAGGCAGATGTGGCACTTCCGTTTTCCCCAAGTTGTACATACACCAGAACTGTCTAACAGGGTTGTTTACATTTTTCTAAACAATTTTTAAGATTTTCCGTTTTCACTATTATTTTTTGTTTTCCTTTTTTGGTTTTTGGAAAAATAATTGTAATTGAATGAAATTCGTTTATTTGGAAAAAAGAGTTTGATGGTTAAATATACATGTATATATAGAATATGTAATATACATCTATGTTTATAGCCGAAAAGAAAACTACAATATTTATAAATGAAATGTATGCAGGTGTATTTTTATCATTTTGCAATGCAGTCAGCTTATGAATAGGGGTGTATCAGGTTTGGAAACCTCGCAATTCTCCGAAAAGTGCACATTGTGCTCTCAATTTTCCTGCTCTTTTGTGGTATTCTTAGGAATGATTGGACAAGTGTCGCATTAGCACTGGACATCATTTACCACCCGACTTGCAGACGCAGTCGCTAGAGAAAACTGTCCTAAATCTGCAAGCTTCCGAGAATAAATGGGATATGGGTAACGGACCGCATATTCCATTATGATTGATACAGTGGCTCAATAAAGAACTCGGACATACATTCCACTGTTATTAACATGCAACTTAAAGCTAAATTTTTTTTAACCAATTGATATTAAGCATTTCTGTTTTTTATGTTTTTATAGGGTATCCAATAAGGATTTAAAAAATACCAATAACAAACAAATTAAATAGTTTATAGGTCTCCTATACCCTTACTTCAAAAAATTAAATTGTGGCATGCTAGAAATTTCGCCAAAAAAAAAGTCGGACAGTTGCTTGGCATTTTAAAAAGGGGAATCCCACAATTAGTTTGTTTTCGTTTAAAAATACATATGTATATAATCAAACGTAATAGCTTAAAATAAAATTTCATTAGTTTTATTTTTTTGGAAAAAAGGTGAAAAGTTCAAACATGGGTAGACAACATGGACAAAGTTCAATTGAAGTAAGGAAGTTAATTATTAGTCATTGTGAAATAGGAAAAACCATTCGGGAAATCGCAGAAATTGTGAGCAGACTCCGCTCGACTGTGCATGACGTGATTAAACGATTCAAACACACAAAATCCGTGAAAACCCAAAAGAAGTCTTGACGACCGAAATTTTTTTCGGCTGCAGATGAGCGGTGGATAGTGCAGCATATCAAAAAAATCCAAACATGAACGCTCCCAAGCTCTCAACAGAAGTTTTGCAAATGTCATGGGGATAAGGATTTTCAATTCTAGAAACAAGTTTTATTTGCAGATGAAAGCAAATTTAATATATATGTAGGTCAGATGGGCATTCGTATGTTTGGAGCAAACCGAATAAAGAATTGCTAGAAAAGAGTTTACGTCCGACTGTTAAACACGGGGGCGGCTCAGTAATGGGATGGGGATGTATGTCCGCAGCTGGTACTGGAAATTTGTGTTTCATAAATAGTAATATGGACCACAAGCAATATCTGACCATTTAAAAAGAAAATTTAGTGCAAAGTGCGGAAAAGACAATTTCCGGTACTACCAAGACAACGATCCGGGCTCATCGCCTTCGATTCGGGCTTTCAGCAGGCAGAAGCGGTGTTCACTGAATATACTGAATATATCCGAGGTATATCTTACTTAATTTATTGGCGTAAACACCGTGATTATAGCCAAGTTAACAACATTGCGCTATTCGTTTCTTCTTTTTGAAGTTTGTCGCAAAGTAGAGGTCTTTCACTACCTGGTAATTCGAACGGAGTGGAGGTTTTCTTCTTCCTCTGCTTTCTCTAGCGGGTACTGCATCGAAAACTATCAAAGCTGGAGTATTCATATCCATCTGGACCACATGACCTGGCCAGCGTAGCCGCTGTCTCTTCATTCGCTGAACTATATCAATGTTGCGGTATAACTTATACAGCTCATCGTTCCATCGTCTGCGGTATTCGCCGTTTCCAATCCGCAAAGGACCTTAAATCTTATGCAAAAAATTTCTCTCGAAAACTCCTAACACCGACTCATCGGATGTTATCGTCGTCCATGCTTTTGCACCATAAGCAGAACGGGAATGGGCTTTGTGGAGAGGACTTTACTTTTCAATAACTTACTCAGTCCAAAATAGCACATGTTTGCAAGAGTGATTCTGCGCTGGATTTCAAGGCTGGCGTTATTATTGGTGTTGATGCTGGTTCCTAGATAGACGAAATTAACTACAACGTCGAATTTATGACTGTCAAAAGGGACATGGGCGCCAAGTCGCGAATGCGATGTCTATTTGTGTGATGACAGGAGATATCTCTTCTTGCCTTCTTTCACCACTAGATCCATATTATTCGTTTCCATATCCAGCCTGGAGAAAACAGCACACACGGCGCGGTTTTTGTGAGAGATTGTACCTTCTCTGTTTAGCTCTGCAGCTTGTACTTTTTTTCTCCAGCAATAATTTAAAAAAGTCACACGATAAGGAATCACCCCGTCTGATACCTCGCTCGGTATAGATAGGCTCAGAGAGGTCCTTCCCGATTTTCCAAGATTTGGCGCACGGTGAATATCTGGTCAATGGTTGACTTACCAGGTCTAAACCACTGTTAAGGTCCAATCACTTTGGTAACGGTGGGATTTAGTTCCTCACACAATACGCTCGACAAGACCCTCTAGGTGATATTACGGAGGATTATCCCACGATAATTGGCGCAGACTGTGGGGTTCATTTTTAAAATTCCAGTCATCGGGCATGCTTTCGTTCGACTATATTCTGCAAAGTAAATGGTCCATGCATCTTGTCAGCTCTTCAGCGCCATGTTTGAACAGTTATGCCGGTAGGCCTTCAGCTCCAGTCGCGTTTTTATTTTTTTAAGCAGGCGGTTGCTATTCGAACGTCTTCTATCGTCATCGATTGGAGTTTCGGGTTCGCCGTCTCCAGTTTCATTTTCACTTCTATTCAGGAGGCTGGAGAAGTTTCTACCATAAATTCAATAAGCTCTGGGCATCAGAAGGTAGATCTTCTAGATCTTTTTCTTTTTGTCCGCAGATCCATCTTGCTGCCCTCTTCAGCTTTCGGTATGTATCCCATCGATCGCAACGTTGCGAAGTAGGTAGTCTGTTGTCCTCATCGTACCAGCAGTTTTTGCGACCTTCCCGAAATTCAATAATTTCGTTTGCAGCTGTACGTAGAGAGCTAGATATTGGGTCCTCGGAGTGTATGCACGATCAATCTGGTTTTGTGGGTTTCAGGGGACAGCCAAGTAGCTTGATTTTTTTTGTGCTGGAATCTAGCACTACAGACGACCATATTTCGGGCCCCGGCGAAGTCGATCAGCCTCAACCCATTAGGGCTTGCGAAGTCTGAATTTTCCGACAGTTGTGCCTAAGATACATTCTTTACCCACCCTGGCATTAAAATTTCCAAGCACGATTTTCATATCGTGTCGGAGACAGCGCTCGTAAGTATGGGCGAGTTATTAAACGTCATACTTTGTTTGACGCACCTGTATTCTGTAAAATTGCCTTGCAACAATACTTTGCATACCCTGACATTTTGGAACGCTTTTCATGCAAATAAGTTGCTTTTTGGTGAAATGGCTAAAATATGAAACAGATCAAAAAAATAAGTAATATCATGTTTAAAAAATATTAGCACAAAAAACTTGCATCGTCGAAGTTGCATTTAGGAACGCGTGAAAATGTATAGTTGCTTTGCAACTTACTTTTGGAATTCACTCTACTTATGTTTAAACAGTGTTTTTTAAAGGTATTTAATTTATCAGCATTGCTGAAGAATTTGCTGGTTTGCACAGTTAAAATTGGCATTTGCTCCGATAAACGCTTTAATAAAGTAACAGTAGATTAGTAAGGAGTATACGCACCGCAACCAGTGGTATATTGTGCCCTGGTAGCACCTAAAAAGCTTACATTTTTGAGAGTTTAAGAAGGCTTAAGACATCATGTCACCATGATTCATATTGCAACATTTAAAGCAATATTATGTTATTTGATTTTATAATGTATGTACAAATATATATATACATTACTTTTGTTTGTTCTTATTGAATTTACAATATAAATAATAAATTATCACTAGTGTAATATTATCTATTACCAATTCGTTAATTATCCTTTTTTACCTTTTGTCTAATTGAAAATATAAAGACTAAATTAAAAAATAATATTTTCATTAATTTTATTAACATATTAATGTGAAATCAGAACTATTCTGATTTTCTTTACAGATCCGTATAATTCTTAATATCCTTTTTTATAAATATATACGATTTTATTATGCCTAAGCATGTGTATTATCATCTTCGACAAAATCCTTTGCTTGTTCTTTTGTAACACAATCTATGTGGCTGACTTTATTTCTGAAACGAACCCCGTAAAACTTATGCGCATTTTCCAGTAGCTCTGGTCTGAATGTAGTTGTTATAAACTGAGCCTGGTCACTAAGCTCGTGTATCATATCAGCAACGGCTTTTCTATGTTGAGCATCGAGTGCCTGAAATGATATATCATATAATTTAGTAGTTATCAAACAAGTCAAAAATGAAATCTTAATTACAACTAATACAAAATTTAGTATATTTAAATCGAAAAGATATGATTAAAAACCGTAAAAATATTAATCTGCCCCTAACCGGATGCCAAATTTTGAATACGATCATTCGCCGTTGATTTTATTTATGCATCACATTTATTGGAAAAAAAAAAAAAAAGAGTGACTTACCTGATCTATCTCATCAAATAAGTAAAAAGGGGCTGGATCACATTTTTGTATTGCAAAAATTAGCGCCAGAGCCACCAATGATTTCTGACCACCAGATAATTGATTCATTTCTCTCATTTCTGCGTCCACACCTGTGAAAGAAACTCGAATACCTATTCCAGTAAATGCATCCGAATTCGCCACTTCTTTGTCATCTTTTTCATCTTCATTGTCCTTGGTCTTGAGTATAAGATAACCGGCGCCTTGTGGCACCAGCTTCTTAAACACTTTTGTAAAGTTTTGGGCGACTTGCTTAAATGTAAATTGTATTGCTTCCACTTTTTGCATTTCAAGCGTATTCATCAATTCTCGAATCTTTTGATCTCCGACATCTAATTCATCTTTTCGTTTATATAATTTTTCTTTTTGTTCGGAAAAACTAAGAAACTGATCGAGGGCTTTTTTGTTTACGTGATTATATTTTTTAAGATGTTGGTTTGCCTTTTCAAGTTCTTTAAATAGGGATTTTAACGACATTTTGCTGTAAACTCCATCAACTTGAGGCAGGGCACCCAGGCTGGCAATTTTTTCTGCACATTCATCCAGTTTTTGATTAAGTAAAATTTCTTTCGAAGTCCATTTCTCCATTTTTTTCGAATCTTCGTTAATTTTTTCTTCAGCATCTTTTTCTTTTCTCATCCAATTTTCAAGTTCATGTTGTAAAGTCTTTTGAAGATGAACCGCTTGTTGAACCCTAGGAAAAATTTAGAAATGGTTTTGAACCTCTTTATTTACTAAAAAAAAAATGATTTTCTACTGGATTTTCAATCCAACAATGTAGACGACAGGGAATTAATATCAATCTCAATTCAATTATCTTTCTTATAAAAAATGAATTGATAAAAGTTAAGGAATTACATACCGTCTTTCGATGTCCTCTAAATCCAGGTTGACTTTTTTAATCCTTTTTTCCGCTGATATTAAATCGTTTTTACAATTCAATAGTTTGCGTTTTCGATCTTCTACCGATATTTCTTGAAGAGCCGTAATTAATTCATCTCGCCTCCGAAAGAGATTATTGGTTAAAAGATTGTCAAGTTTATTTTTTACAACTTCCAATTGCATTCTTTGAGTAAATGCCTCCTTATTCTCTTGATTCAATTTGCGTATATCATCGTTAAGCTGATCTATTTCTCGTTGATCCTGTACCGACAAACTAGATAAAAGTTCTTGGTTTAGCTCAGCTTCCAAACCAGCCTTTGTACTATTCATGGCTTCCAAGCTTGCTTTACATTGTGAAGCAGATCTTTCTCTGGTTGATCTATATTTCTCTATTCTCAGTAATTCTTCTTTCATTAAACGAATTTCACCTTGAAGTTTTTCAAAAATGTCTTTGGTTTTTCCTTGTTTTGTTTCCGTTTTCTGCATTTCCGAAACAACTGAATTTATACTATTCTCAGTTTGTTTAATTTCATTCCTTAGTTTACTTAGCTCCTTTTCAAAGTCGCGTATTTGTTGTGTGTATTCGGATCGCTTTTTTTGTATTTCCAGACGCGATCTTGACGTATTAAAATAACCTCCGGTTAGGGAACCTTTTGATGACACTTGATCGCCATCTAAAGTGACACAATCTAAACCTGTGCTTTTAGCCAATTCTGTGGCTCTTTCTAAATTTCTGCATATTAAAGTTTTTCCAAAAATATATCTCAGCGCTTTATCATGTTGCTCATCGTATTTAAGTTTTGAGAGCATTGGAATGGAATCTGGATCATCGGGATAATCATGTACTTTTACTTGCAAACGATTAAGTGGCATAAATGTAACTTCTCCCGGCAACTTAAGTTTATTCATTTCTTTTAAAATTTGGGTGCCAACCTTGTCAGATTCAACGATATGGTGGAATAACCTATTTCCAGCTGTAACTTCAACCGCAGTGTATATCGTTTTGTCACAACTAAAGTTTTCAATAACCGGACCATAATAAGACTTGGCTATTTCAGCAAAAGGTGGGCCGCGTTCAAAAAAATTATCCAATACTTTCCGAACGGAGTCACGTCCATTTAGTATCGGCTTACCAGCCATACTTCTTAATGCTTGGTCTGTCTTGGAAAGTTCTTCCTTATGTGTCTGCAGTTGCTGTGTCATTTGAGTTTCTTTGCGCCATAACTCATTTCTCATTGCTTGATATTGATCTTTAGTTTTCTTTAACTCGTAGTATTTTTTGTTATGCTCGTCAATTTGAAGTCTTAATTGTTCAAGTTCGTTAGAGTGTTCTTCAATTTTTCTATTTAAGTCTGCTTCAGCGTTGCTATCTTTCTTTAAGTCTTCCACTAATTTTGTGTTGTGATTTATTTTGTCTCTTATTTGTTTACTTAAAGATTTTAATTCATTTAGTATCCATTTATCCCTCTCCTCTCGTGAAGAGAATTGTGATCCTCGACCCTGTTTCGCATACAACTCATTTCTTTTTTGCTCTTTTAGAGCAAGTTCTCGAGAGCACTCTTCTTCTTTACGCTTCATTGCTTCGTATTTAGGTTTTACATCATCTAACTCCCTCTCTTTCTCTGCTATGGTTACTTTTAATTTTTTTAACTCTAAATCAGCCCTTTCTTTCGATTTATTGTCCCCCTGTACTTCATCATTAAGATCGATTATAATTAAATCAAGCTTTGTTTTTTCACGCAACAATTGTTGTTGTTCCGTCAGCAATACTGACCTTTCCTCTTTTGTTGATACAACATCCTTCTTAGCATCCTTTAAACGTTTCTGTATATCTTTTATGTGTTCTTGTGCTTTTTGGATTTCTATATTATACACTTTTTTCTTATCTACAGATGATTTCTTCTGCTCATTCAGATCGTCAAGAGCTTTTTTAGTCTCTTTTAATTCAGTTTCGTGTATTATATACTCTAGCATTCTTCTTGCTTTATCCCATTTTTGATATTCCTTTAGCTCTTCCTTTTCTTCTTCTAAAGTTTTTAATCTATCTTCAATTGTTCTTAGGTACTCAGAAATTTTTTCAAGTTTTCCCTCTGTTTCCCGTAATATATTTAGAGATTCCTCTTTCCGTTCGTCATACACTCGAGTGCCAGCTACTTCACGCAATAACTTTAATCTGTATGAATCAGCAGCTGTAGCCATTTGATTAATCTTTCCTTGTTTCACTATATAGTAAGGATTGGAATTTGAAAATCCAGCAGATTCGAGCAAATTTACAACTTCCGTTCTCGGAACAACTTTTTTATTTAAAAAATATTGGTCTTTTTTAGAACCAATCACTCTTCGTAGATAAATTTCTTCCTTGTCAATCTAAAATAGGCAATAAACCATTTATTAGTTTAAAATTAATAGTTATGAAATTTCAAGGCAACTTAAGCAATTTGCCTTTAATACATATATAAAATTACGCATTCTGACTCAATAATAGTTAAAAAGAAAGAATTAGCAAGAAATAATAAAATTTTTTCCCAGAAATTTCTCACTGCAGAAAAATATATATATGTAAATTGTATTATTTTTTCGATTGCAAATATCACTCAAGAATCCACTACTATTTTTTTTTAAATTTTAGAACGTTCAAAAATGTTACTTCTTCATCTGCGTTGTTGTTGTAGCGGTTTGCTAACCCTGCACACGTTTAATCAATACAAGTCGCCGAGGGCATCTAGTGTGGGTCCACGGGATCGGACCAGAGGGAGAGGGGATTAGATGTATCAGCTAAAGTGGGCATGTGAAGAGGTGGTTAGTGTCGTACGGAGACTTTCCACATGCAGGACATACGTTGGGTATGTTGGGGTCGAGTCTGGATAGGCAGGAGTTTAACCTGCTACAGTATTCAGACTTAAATTGTGCCAAAGACACGCGGGTCTCTCGAAGCAGCTCGAGATCGTTGTATGCAATGGGTGGTGGTTTTTCTCCGAGCACGGAGAACATGGATACCAAATTGTATGTCCAAATAATGGAGTCGACTTTCCTACCACATGCTGAATCTAATATACCGCTGAAATGGATCTTTCAACCAGACGACGGCCCTAAGCATACCAGTAACTTGGCAAAAGGTTGGCTTGCTTCTAATGAGCTTGAGGTCAAGGTCTGGTCGGCTCAGTCAACTGACATCCCATTCAAAATTATTTCTATACTCAAAAATAATGAATAAAGTGTAGTGAATTTATCTATGTTTTTTATATATACCGACATGGCTTACTATTTAATGTTCTGTGCTTATCGATAAAATCATTCAAATATGGTTTTAAAATTAAATATCATACTTACTGGTACACGGTTATCGCTATTATCGAAAATTATCTCAACGTAGGCAGAAATAACTCTAGCTCCGGTTCCTTCGTGTAAGAGCGCCTGCCTCTGCTCCGGCCGAAGATGTGTAAACTCGTCGCTAAGCACAAATTGTATAGCTAAATTAAAAGAATAAAAACCATTTTAAATTTAATATTAGCCGATAAAATTAAGCCGAACTCATTGTAAAAAAAAACTTGGACTAAAACATCGATGGCACTACTACCACTACAGTTTCAGATAGTATCAACCTTCAAAAATAAACTTTTAAACTTTGTTGTTGTTGTTGTAGCGGATTCGCTAACCCCGCTTAGGCACAGGCTTGAGTTAGTCTAAGTCGTCGAGGTCATCTAAGGGTAGGCCCAGGAAACGAGCTGTTTCGACGGGGTTGGACCAAAGGGAGAGGGGTGTTAGATGAGTAGGTTTGAGGGGGCATGTGAAGAGGTGGTTAGTGTCGTGCGGGGACTCTCCACATGCCGGGCATACGTTAGGTATGCTGGGGTCTAGTCTGGATAGGTAGGAGTTTAACCTGCTACAATATCCAGACCTAAGTTGTGTCAGGGTCACGCGGGTCTCTCGAGGCAGCTCGAGCTCGTTGTCTGCTATGGGTGGTGGTATTTCTCCGAGTACGCCATTCACTGGAAGGGAGTTCATGAAGGTGTTAACTGACTCCTGGTGAATGGCGTTCAGTGCCTGTCGATACGCCGTCCTGTCCAGCGGTTGTTGTGTGTGTTGCTGGATCGTGTCTTTGAGGTCTAGTACTCCCTTCCTGATGTGCCTAGGTGGAGGTTCAGCTTCTATTAAGTGCCTACTGGGGTGCTCCCTGCGGTAGCATCCCAGTAGGAACTGCTTGCACAGCAAAGCATTATGCTCCTTAACTCGTAGCATAGATGCTTCCCTGTGCAAGTGATGCTCCGGCGACATCAGGAGGTTTCCTGTCGCAGTCCTAAGGGCGGTGTTTTGGCAAGCCTGTAGCTTCTTCATCTGCGTCCCGTTCGTCCCCGGCGTCCAGATCGGAGCAGCATAGTTTACGACCGGCCGGCCAATTGCCAGAAAAGTTTCCTTTTCTTTACCCCAGTTGCTGCCGGCTATCGCTTTGAGTATTTTGTCGCGGCTCTGGATTTTTGCGGCAATTTCAGTAGCAGTGAAGAAGTGAGAAAGATCGGCAAGGCAGCAGTTAGGGAAACTCTTTCTCCTCCTTCTGGTGGAGGAGGGAGTTTCGAAATCTAAAAATTAAACAGGAGCGGGAAGAGCACACCACCCTGCGGAGACCCCTGTTTAATTTTACTGTGTATCGATGTTTCATTTCGCAATATTACCTCAACAACCCTGGCGGTAATGAGGATTCCTCAATGTTTGTTAGTAGGTTAGTAGCGCTGAATGAGTGCTACCAGGACAGTTCGCGCGCAGGGTCGGTTTTGGTAAAGGTCATTGACCATGTGTGGGTGTTTATGGTGTTTAGTGCTGTGCATTTTTCGGAAGCCATGTTCATGTGCTGCTGGACATAGATGGTGAGTGAAGGTTGGGAGCAGTAAGGCCTCAAGTGTCTTCGCTACTGGGGATAGGACTCACCTTTGTTGGCTGAATTGAATAGCGGGACCACCCTGCACATTTTCCATACGTCGGGTATCGTTAGGGTGGTCAAAGACAAATTGGGGACCCTCGTGAGAAATTCTGCTTCCGCTGGTCCTAGGTGTTTGAGCATCATCATGCTTATTCCGTCGGCACCGATGGATTTGGGGGCTTTCGTTTTCTCGATTACCCCCTGAACCTCCTCCCGAGAGAAATCGAGCACCTCGCTAGTGTTTGCCAGTTTGTGCATGCGGCGGGTTACAGACCCTTCGCTTTGTCTAAAGAAGGATGCAGTGTGAAAAGTCGGCTAAAATAGCTCGCGCATCTCTTCGGATCCGACGACGCGTGATCACCGAATGAGATTTCCACCCGGTCATTCCGTCTCGTCGGGTAAGACAGCGAATTGACTGTGGCCCAGAGCTTGGTTGCTCCAGAGGAGAGGTTGCAGGTCCTTAGGTGCTCCTCCCACTTTTTCCGCTTATGGATGTTGACTACTCTACGAATCTCCGCGTATAAATCCCTGATTAGGGGATTTCCGTGATCGGAGCTTCGGAGAGTGTCGCACCTGGATGCTAATACCGCCTCTTATGTCGGAAAATTTGAGCGGATTTTCGCAAAGCGGCCTGCCAGGATGAAGCGGGCGGCAGCGGTCACGACGACACTGCAGAATATATGCTCACTAGTGGTGACGTCTGATGGAATGACAAGAGCACTAAAAACGTTCTCAGTGAATTCCGTGAAGCCGGGCCAGTTAGCTTTTTTGAAGTTAACAAATGTCCGGTGGTTCGCGGAAACAAAGTCGGGAGGCCTGTCAATCGAGAGATTTGTATAGGCAAGTGGTCCGATGCTAGTGTCAGTATGGGTCGTCAGACTATACTGTTTATCAGGACAGCACTCGCAATTGTTATTTACGGCGAGCTTTGGTAATTACCCATAACTTTGGTGGGGGTGTTGTCGTTCATTGTGCAAAATGTCGAATCGCCTATCTGTTCTGCCAGCTCCATTCCTCTACGGTTATTTGGCAGGCTATAATGCCAAAGATCTTGATTCGCGTTAAAGTCGCCCAAAACTAAACGGGTTTCGCCTCTGAGTAGCGCGCCTATATCAGGGCTGTATCCAACTGGGCAATTTGTAACAGCAGGAATGTACATATTAAACATCTCGAGCTCGGCATCGCCTGACCGGATAGCTATGCCCTGGAATTCTAGGGTAGTATTTCTGCGGTCGATAAGACGATACTGCACGGTGTTGTGCAGAATAAACGCTAGGCCCCACCATGGTCTCGCTCGCGATCCTTGTGGAATATGTTGTATCCGGCCCGGCTCAGAAAATCTGATCGAGCGGTCAACTTCGTTTCCTGAATCGCAGCGATTGAAAGGTGCTTATGGAGTGATGCGTGGATGGAGTGTGTTGCTGCTGTAATGGAAGCAGAGGTTGATTCCGCACATTGGTATTAGTGAGTTTGTCGAAATAGGCGGGGGCAACATACGCATTGTTCTACTCACGGGTGGTACGCTGGCCAGAGCACGAGTTTCATCTGACTGAGGTCATGTTCCGAGGTGACTCCAACCATTGCACTGGTTGCACTTAACCGAGGTGGAGGGGTGGTCTAGCCTTTTATGACACAGGCAGCAGAAAAGTTAGAAGGCGAATCCCATGCAGTTGTGCGTAAGATTTGGGACCCACCACATGAAAAGTGGACTCCAATGAAAAACCATATTATGCCTCGGAGGAGAGACCCCCTTTTCCATAACGACCCCTCAAAAGTTTTAGGGATTACGATTTGAGGGCATATACATGGAATGACCGGTACCGACATCACCGCCGACCAAAAGATGTGATGAACGGGACAAGGAAAGAAGAAGGTAGGTACTTGTTAAAATTACTACAGCGGGAATATAAAGGAGCGCAAACTTTGTGTCGGATTCGTGGTGGGAGAAAGACTCCGTCCCTGAGTACTGGCATCAACTCCAGTGGATGAAGGTTTCGTCACAATCCGAATCAAAACAAAATTTTGTAACACCACGCTGATTTGCGCCCACGCCCCGACTTATGTCACCAAAAATGCCTTTTACGAACGTCTCGAACACACTTATGAGCGCTGCCCCCTCCACGACGTCAAAATTGTGCTTCGCGACTTCAACGCCAGGATGGGCAAACAAGGTATTTTTGGAACAACAATCATAAAATTCAGCCTCCGCGGCGAAGCATCCCCAAATGTCCTGAGGCTGGTCGACTTCGCCGGGGCCCGAAATACGGTTGTCTGTAGCAATAGATTCCAGTACAAAAAAATTCACCAAGCTACTTGGCTGTCTCCAGATCGAAAAACTCTTCATCAAATCGATCATGTTGTGGACTCGGACTACTACCTTGTCGCAGCGAAGATACGCACCCGGCTCTGTGTATCGAAGAGCGCACGTTAAAAAACACAAGGAAAGATTGATGTTGAAAAGCTGCAATCACAGCAGACTATAGAGCAGTTTTCTACTCCACTTGTACACCTGCCTTCTTAGAGCTCTCATGAACAACCTCGTATAAGGGAACTGTGGGACGACATTTCAAACGCGCTACGTACAGCTGCAAACAAAACTATTGCGTTTCGAAGAGGTCACTTCTCTAACCTGCTGTATAGCAATCAAAATGAGACACCCGGAGATGGTGAACCCGAAATTTCAGTTGATGACGATGGAAAAGTTGTGCCGTTACCCGCCTATGAAAAAGTCCGAATAGCAATCGCCCGCCTAAAGAACAACAAAGGGGAGGGGACCGATGGATTACCGGCCGAGCTATTTAAATACGTCGGTGAAGAACTGATCAGGTGCATGCAAGTGCATCAGCTTCTTTGCAAAATATGGTCGGATGAAAGCATGTCTGACGACTGGAACCTTAGGTTACCTCCACCCCCATCCCCACCCACAACCAGCTCCTCATCCTCCTCCCGTGCGAGGGCTACCCAGCAGCTCCTAGTCCCCCGCACTGTCTGTTCCGTGTGTCAGACCATAGTGCGTCNTCCCTTTGGTCCAACCCCGTCGAAACAGCTCGTTTCCTGGGCCTACCTTTAGATGACCTCGACGACTTAGACTAACTCAAGCCTGTGCCTAAGCGGGGTTAGCGAATCCGCTACAACAACAACAACAACACTGGAACCTTAGTGTGCCGTGTGCTATCAAGCGTATTGTGTGAAAGACTGAAGTGTGGCTTCAGACCTGGTAAGTCAATCATTGACTAGACACCACCTCTTCGTCGATTTTAATGCAGCCTTCGACAGCGCGAGAAGGAGTTGCCCTTATGCCGCTATGTCTGAATTTGGTATCTCCGCAAAACCTTTACGGTTGTATAAACTGACCTTGAGCAACACTAAAAGATCCGTTAAAATCGGGAAGGACCTCTCCGAGCCGTTCGATACCAAACAAGATTTCATACGGGGTAATTCCTTATCGTGTGATTTCTTCAATTTATTGCTGGAAAAAAATAATAATGATATTGAAATAACTTCGCCGTTAGTTCTGCTTTCTCCACACTCGATAAAGAAGCGAAGCAAATGGGTCTGATAGTGAATGAGGACAAGCGTGGAAAATATCAATATCTGATGAGTCAACCCTAGGAGTCTTCGAGAGAAAAGTTTTGCGAACGATTTATGGTCCTTTGCGCATTGGCAACGGCTAGGATGGAACGATGTGCTGTAAGAGCTATATGATGGTATTGACATAGATCAGCGAATAAGAGACAGCGGCTACACTGCCTAGGTTATGTGGTTGCGAATACCATAGCTTTAAAAGCTAGAGGAAACAGAGGAAGAAGAAGACCTCTAATCCGTTGGAAGGATCAAGTGGAGAACGACCTGGCTTCACTTGGTATTACCAACTAGCACCAAACAGCGAAGAGAAGAGATGAATGGCGCGCTATAATCGCATAAGCGGTTTCAACGCCAATAAAGAAGAAGAAAAAGAATCAGATAACAGTCTTCGTATTTCACTCATTAAAACGGGTTGATTTATTTTGATGAACCTCTTTGGTTTGGTAAAGGAAAATCTAGACTAATTTGTTAGAATCATCATTAAAGACGTAAGCAATATAAAGTTAGTAGTTTATAAAAGATCTATTGAAAACAAAAAATACTGTGTAGTTTCGATGCGGCGCAGTGTTATTATTTAAAACTCGCGGAAGGCCTCCAACTTAAGAAGGTGTGTCACTTTAAAGTATTTTGAAATGCGAATTTCGCCTCTCAATCCTAACATAATAATAATTAAACCGATCTTAGTCTTTAGATATAATATTACAATTAAAGTGAGATAGAATTCTAAAGCCAATCCATTGGTTCGGCGAATCTTTGGTTTTTTAAACGAGGTCGAAGGCTTCTACCTTACAAAATTTTTCACTTAAAAATACTGTGCAACGCCGATTTAAATCCAAGTATTTTTAAATGAATCAAACTTTTATTCAAAATATAATTATATATTTGATTTTAATTTTTTTTCTTTTTAACTTATAGATTATTTTACGAAGTAACAACACCTGCCTAGCCAAGCGTATATAGTTTATTAGTAAAATGCAATCAGACTCCTTGTACTTTAAAATGTAGCTTAAATTCTAATAACAATATATTTGCGCGCTAGAAGGCTTTTATTCCACAGAAATTTCCTAAAAAAAATTGTTCCAAACTTAACTGCATTAGCATAACTTACCATAAAAGAAATTGCTTTTTCCCGACCCATTTCGTCCCACAACAACGTTATGTCTTTTATCGAAGGGTTCAACAATAGTCTGATCTTTATAGCTTTTGAATCCTTGTATAATAATCTGTAATAATGACTGATCAATAAAAATATTCATTGAAACATAACTCGACTTACTTGTTTAATATGCATTGCGAATTTTTGTGCACTTCAAAGTTTGTAACCACAATATACCGCCATAAATAAGGTAAAAAATTAAACTAGAACCCCAATATTTTTGCACTAAAGAGTAAGATTTTAAGAACTTGTCTTACGGAACAAGTTTATAAATTTTGCGCTCAATTCACGAAATATTCATTCACGGAATACCGAACCCAAAAACAAACAATTTGTAATTAATTATAATAATCGATTTCTGCCAAACCCGATATATATCGAATCTTAAAAGGCCTTTCCATCGTTCGTCGAATTTAGCCCCATTCAGACGGCACATAATTTGACAGTTTTGGTCTTACTTGTTTGTTCCATCTGAAAACGCATGAAATTATATATTTTGGTAGTAATTAATAAAATCTCGAATTGAATTGCTAATGTAAATGTCAGTTTCCTTAATAATTTCTAATATTTTTCTTCTTGAATATATAAATAGTGTTTGGTTGCAAATAAAATTCTGAGTATAGGTGTTTTCTTTTTCATCACTTTTGTTTTGATTTACAGGCCTATTCTGTCGAGGTAACAAAATTTACCTAGGTATTTAAATTTACCGTTGAGTAAATTTTGTTACCATTTCGTATTCTGAGCACAATGTTACGCTGTAAAATTTGTTACCAGCGAAATAAGAGGTAACAAAAATATATGCGGTTTGATTTTGTGTTGTAAGTTTGAGAAAAATAAAAAACTAAAATGGGTATGCATATTTTAGGCCTGGAATTCATTGAAGATGAAGAAAAAAGTGCAAAAAAGCCGTAATTTAAGAAGTTTTCGAGACAAAAAATAGCCTTTTAATTTGTATTCAGCTTTTATTATTGTCCAGGCATATTTTCCATAATTAGGTTTAAATATTTATGATTTAATAAATAAATTAATAAAACTTTTTAATTTTTTTGTGCACCGTCTTAAAAAATATAACAATTAGCTGAAGATTAAAAACAAGCACGTATATGATTAAGATCCGTCGACGAAAAATGTAGTGAAGAGTGCGCGAAATGCTGGAATTGACTCTACCGCATTTGCACAAAGACCGTATGAGTCTTGTCGCCTCTTATTCATACGTATACGTTCTTTGATTAAACTCGCAAGCATTAACACTTTTTCACCACGAGCTAAGGATACATTAAACACACTTTCTCAACATTTGTAAAAGCGTTAGCTCGATAGCATAAACGCGCGTTGAGTTGAAATCAGCAGATTTACTTCTGACCTGTTTGATACAGAGTTTACGTGCTGCTAACTTTTTGCCAAATATATATATGTTTACATGAAAATTTAGCAACACTTAGCATAGTTGGGCTTGGGAGCTCTGATATTAACTCCATTCTGAATTAAACTCGATTAGAACATTTGGCGGTTCTGCTTGTAGGCTTGCGAGCTGTGGGAAATATATATACATAGGTTTGCGTATAAGAAGCTGCACAGCGGCACTAAATACTAATTAACTAAAATCAAATCTAGTATAACTTACCTACGAGGAAGGTATTATGAAGTTGCCGTCTAGATGGAAACAGATCATCGAACAAAACGGCGCATATTTTAACTAAATCCGATCACTGTAACACTTTTTACAAAGCATTGAATGAAGAGCAAAAAAGCGGAAGGGAGATATTTATTATTATAGTACTTGCTAAGCACTTCTCCAAGAAAAGTAGTAGTATACTTATAAGTAACCTTGTCAGGGTAAATTTACCATATTCATAATATTTCAATGGATCTCATAAACGCTGACAAAAATAGAGGAAGAAAGTTATATTATTAATTTACATATTTATTTACTAATAAAAATATTTAAAAGTATAATGAAAAAACGTCAAAAAGGACCTACATATGCATATATGTATGTATAATACTGAAAAATGGTAATTTAAATAATATACTAAATTATAATATCAATGATAGTTTAAATGATTGATGATTAATATTTGAACGTGAGGTAGTCAAATAAATTCGCCAAGGCGAAGCACAATTTTTCTATTTTTAGAACATGGTATTGATGTTGATGGAGCAATGAAATATATTTCTTAAAGTTCGGACGGTTCTGATGAATCGGGGACAAATATTAGGTGTGAAATGAAGATCTAATAATGTTCCTTATCGAAGCTTCAACGGGCAAGCATGTACATACATAAATATCTGACCACTGCTTGTGAACCAAGGACATATCTCAAAGAATGTGAATGCAGAGATATAGGCTAATATAATTTAATTTTTGAAGATTATTTAATGTTAATCTTGACCGTGATTGCGCCTCCATAAGTCCTTTATTACGCGTGATGTGTGGCATGTGGTACCGTCTTGCTGAAACCACCAGTCATGCAAGTCAAGCTCTTGCGTTTTGGGCAAAAAAATTTATATATCATCCCACGCTCCTGGCTTTATCTTTTAAGAAGCATGGTCCAGTTATGTCACTAGCCCATAAACCGCACCTAACTGAGACTTTTTCTGTATGCATTGGTAGCTCTTGCAATACTTCTGGCTGATCTTTCCTCCAAAATCGACAATTCTGCTTATTGCATTAAGCCAAAAATGAGCTTCGTGGCTGAACAAAATTTTTCGCTAAAAAAGTGTATCTTCGGCCAATTTTTCAAGGCCAATTCATCAAAAATTCTGCGCTGCGGTAGGTCGTTCGGCTTTAATTCTTTCACCAGATGAATTTTGAAAGGCTTAAATCCTTCCGCAAAATTTTGTTAAAAGTTTAAGGATATCGTATATATGCATTGAAATTTTTATTATATCATTCAATAGTTTAGTATAACTTGTTTGAAAGATACTGAATCAATGGTTTTTATATTAAAATCGTTAGAAAATTGAAACATATTTTCAAAGTTATTTATCAAAATATTTAAAGAAAAACCAACGTTGGAACATCCCTGCGGTTGTTTATGTTCGATTGAATTTGAAAGTTTTTTAATGTTTACAGGCAAATTTTTATTTACGTTCATTTTACTAACTAATTATAATATGCATAGTCAAAGATGTATTCACAGAATATTGGACATAATTTTCTTTAATTTGCATTTCTCGATCTTATCATACATTCCTTACACTAAAGTTCTTTATTTTCTACATCCGCGCTGGATTCCATGAAACGTTCAAAAGACATGGTGCTCACATATAATCACTGAAACGTTACACAGTTTTGTTGCTGCCAAGCTTAAAACACAGGGACCTTATATCTTATTGGTCGCCACCATGGTCAAGATGTTGTTACTCCTTATTTAAATATGATTCCATTTAATTTCGATATCGCTTCCCTAATTCTATTAACCAATAAGGGAACGGGATAAGCAAGATATAAATTGCATTTGTAGCTATGGCTATGCTTAATATAATGACGAATGTGGTGCGTATTCACACGTTGGCATACGCCGAAGAACAGTTCCATTATCTATAAATCGTTTTAAATCAAAATTATGGAAATGTAAGCAAAAGGAAACGCAATAACCCAATATACACATGGTTGTATTTTGAAGGTTTACTCTACACAAGCTCGTTGGTGATTTGATGTCCAGCAATCTAAATTTGGAGAGAAATTTAGTCACAATAGCCCGAATAGCCGTTTCAGTGGGTCGATTAAACTGACCTTAAAATCGATGAACTTTCTTAACAGAGCACGTATTTTGATAATAAAATTCAATAAAACGCGAGTGTTGTTCGTTTGTAAGGCGATCCATGGTTGAAATATAGACCAAACTGAAGGTGTTTGACAGCGATATAAAACACGAAACGTGCGTCAGCTGTTTAAGCGAGTGTTGCCAAAAAGATAATAGCTAAAAATTCCCCCTTTAGTTTTATGTAGGTACTTGAATGTTTTAGTATTTCTCATTTAACTCTTTAATAAAATGTTAAAACAGATCACTCTTTTTTTATTAATGTCGTGCTACTGTATTGACTCCATTGTCCATTACACATAGAGCATGGTACGTTACAAATTTTCTTGCAAGAACGGGCTGATGGGTTCACTAATATATTGTTACGATTTTACCAAATCAACCTCGATTATTTTCTAAATCTTTCGGGTACGATCTCTGGATTGTTAAATAAATACTCGCCAATTCAATTTGCAGTATCTTTCGTTATAAAGATTCTATCTAATGTCCTTTATTTACTCAGTGATTCACAATTCATTTACAAGACACTTTACTAGCTACAATCATTTGCATCAACTTTCACAATTTACTCTACTTAAATGCAATTCCCAACCCGTTCACTTTACGACTTAACTGATGTTAACGCCAAAGAGCTCACTTTGTAACTAACTTCTTAGCAGCTGACTGTCCCCTTATATAGCAGTCGGCTGCTCGCAGACGAAAGCGTAGAAGCATCGAATTGTTCGCTATCGAAGGTTCTTGTTTTATCGTTTCTAGAACGTACTAGTTATCGGCTTCTCTCTTTCATCTGACATTCGCCTCGCATTTTCGCAACA